AGCTGACGGAGACCAGCTCTTCCGCGACTATGAGAAACTGACAGAGGACGAGCGAGACATAGCACGCGACTTTATGGCTACCCTCGCCCGTCGCCGGGATAAAAACGGAGGCAAAAAAGACTAATGGCCGCAGCCGCATGGCAGACAGCCGCGACGCTGCAAGCCGAGCGGCTCATCTCGGACCTTCAGATAGGCAGCCTCCCGGTGATGCCGATCGAGATCGCCCAGACTCTTGAGATTGAGGTGCAGGCCCTTCCTGCACGCTCCACCCCAGGAGTGTCTGGAATGCTGCTCCGCAATGACGACAAATTTGGCATTCTCTATTCAACATCGATCGACAGCGATGGGTTTCAGCGATTCAGCATCGGGCACGAGATTGGGCATTTCCGGATGCCCGGTCATCCGGAAAGCGTCATGCAGGATGGCATGCACGCAAGTTATGCAGGATTTGCGAGCAAAGATCGCTATGAACTCGAAGCCGATCACTTTGCCGCTGGTCTGTTGATGCCTCGCTCGCTCTTCGACAAAGCACTGGATAAAGCAAGCGCTGGAATGGATGGTCTGATCGGATTATCAGACCAGTGCATTACCTCATTGCCAGCAACCGCAATTCGCTACGCGCAGCGCTTACCCGATCCGGTTGCAATTGTCGTTAGCACAGGAGACAAGATCGACTATTGCTTCATGTCTGACACGCTCAAAGAAGTTCCAAACCTCACTTGGCTTAAACAAGGCACACCATTACCTCTGAGTAGTACAACAAGGAAATTCAACGCAGATACCGAGAACGTCGCACAGAGCGCGCGTGCAGATGAATATGGAGCTCTCACGGACTGGTTTGGCGGAACGATAGAGGCTGACTTGAACGAAGAAGTGATAGGGCTTGGCAGCTATGGTCGGACCCTAACCGTGCTGTCAGTTGAGGGCCTGCCAGATGAAGAAGAGATCGAAGAGGAAGATGATCTCGTGGAATCTTGGACGCCACGGTTTAAGCGCTAACATCTAGGAATGATAAACCGATCAACATCATAACAAACATACAAACCAGACAGCTCCCTTCCAAGTGCGCTTACCACAAAAACAAAAAAGTGCGCAAGGCGCAAGAGTGCGAACAATGAGATGGTGTAATTCATCATCGCCTCGGCGTCCACAAAAAATTGCTCCACCGACAGTCAAGACCGGCCACAACCCTGTGAGGCGAATTCAACTCGCGCTGTTCTTCCGAGAGGCCACTGGAGCACTTTCCCGTGGCTAAAGCCGCGAAGCCGAAAAAGCTTACTTCGCGAATGCGCCTGGGCCAGGAAGGCATCAGCATGATCGAACGAACGTGCTTAAAGATGCACTGCACGTGGAATCCAACTGGAGCGGTCGACGTAGGCATTGACGGGTTCATCGAGTTATTCGACCGACAAAACGGAGATGCACTTGGAAAACACCTAGCCGTACAGAGCAAAGCGGTTTCCAACTTCCAGAATGACAAGGAGGAGACGTTCGATTTTGCCTGTGACGCGAGGGATGTCGCGTACTGGAGACAGGGCAACATGCCTGTTCTGCTCATTGTCAGCCAGCCAAGCACGGACACGATGTATTGGGTTTCAATAAAGGATTACTACGACAATACAGAAGACTCCTCAAACACGATCCATTTTCATAAGAGAAACAATAGATTCAGCGAAGAATCTTACGCTGATTTGATAAGGCTGGGGCGAGATGAATCGGCAGGCCTTTATCTGGGCCCGGTGCCACAGCCAGAAGACCTGTTCAGCAACTTGCTGCCAGTCACATCGTTACCCAAACGCATCTGGGTTGGCGAGAGCAAATTCCGGCGCGATCAGCAAATCTGGCCAATCCTTAACGCGTCTTCTGACCGCGCGGGAAGAGACTGGATACTAAGAGGCGGATCAATCATTTCCTTTCAAAACCTCCAAGAGCGCCCGTGGAGCAACATTTGCGACCCAGGAACTTGCGAAGATTTCGCAGTCGATGAGTGGTCGGAAAGTGAGGACGTCGATCGACAACGTCACTTTGTAGAACTCCTTAATCGAGCGCTTACGACCCAGTTGTATCCCGCCGTTAGGTATCGAAGTGATCCGGGGTGTTACATGTTCAGTGGTAATCTAGAGACAGCGCCCCTTCAAATAGAATATCAATCGGTCGTCAACAAAGTCCAAATGACGGTCGTACACAAGTACGAAAACACAAATGCTGATGGCGAACGGTTCGTTTGGCTACGACATTCCGCATTTCGTTCACGCTTCAAACGCTTCGATCAACAATGGTATTTAGAGATCACACCCACCTACGTATTTACTTGGGACGGAGTTCGTCTCTACCACTTTCATGAAGATTCTCTGAGCGGAATAAAAAGGATTGAGAAGAACAGAGCGGTACTCTCAGCTGTAGCACTTTGGGCAGACTATCTGAGTACCACCACGGCCGATTTGTTTAAGAATCCAATCCTACAATTTGGGCGATTATTGACGTTCGAGCTTCCGGTGGGAGTTGATGACAATGGCTGGGCCGCAAAAGGATCAGAAGAAGATGAGATTGAAGAGGATCCTGAAACCGACGATCTGTTCGCAGCTCTCGTCAAGGAGGACGACTCCTGAACATTCTTCATATCGATGAGCCCTTACTGGAATTTGGGACAGATACACATATCGATGTTCGATTTGGCATCGCGCAGTATCAACCGTTTGACGCCTTGCATGATACGACCCCGACAAACATCAGAACGGGACTTGTGGGAAGTGCTGACAGCATCGAAGCGTTGAGCGATTGGTTAGAGACGTCCGCCAAAGGTGTAGCGGGTAAACCCTCAAGGCGGGTGAATTTTCACCCGGCCTTCCCTGGATTTTCCGAAGAATCATGTTTCGGTGCTCGTCTGGTTACGGACGATCGTTGGACGGGTGCCCTCTCACAATTTGAAATAAATGACCTCCTGGATCTACCACCTTCGTCGATTGTCTCAGCTTCAGTTGACTGTTTTCTCGATCAAGCAACGCGAATCTTGAGTAACAGTTCATTGGACGTCCTGATTTGCGCTCCTCCCGTCGATCTGATGGCAAAACTGGACGCCGCGGTTTCGAAAACTACGGCCACTAGCACCGAAGAGATCGATGACGGGTCCGACGAAGAAACGGAAAACGTTCTGAACACATCTCCTCCTTTCCATGATTTGCTAAAGGCCAGGGGCATGTCCTTAGGAGTCCCTATTCAAATGGTTAGACCACCGACCTATGGCGGAGGTCAAGCAAGGAAATCTGAGTTAGCTCCCCGCCGTGTCGCGCTGCAGGATGAAGCCACAAGAGCATGGAATTTCTTCACCGCCCTCTACTATAAAGCTGGGGGTATCCCCTGGCGCCTGGTTCGCGACCCTTCTTTGTACGCATCATGTTACGCAGGCATAAGCTTCTTTAAGAGTCTCGACGGAGACAGAATGTTAACCAGCGTTGCTCAAGTCTTTAACGAGCGAGGCGAAGGCATTGTTGTTCGCGGTGCGCAAGCTCAGAAAACCGAAGTTGACCGGCAACCTCACTTAAGTAGTGAAGATGCATATGATTTGATCGTAAACGCCATTTCCACATATCGTCGAGAGCATCGACATAACCCTGCCCGCCTGGTTGTCCATAAAACCTCAAACTACGCGGCGATAGAAGAAGACGGTATCCTCAGAGCAGCGAAACATCAAAACATCGAGCTCGTCGACCTGGCGACCGTTTCTCGATCCTCGACGCGACTGTTTAGAATTGGCACCAATCCGCCACTTCGGGGGACGCTGTTTAATCTATCCAGGGACAAGAGTGTTCTCTACCTGAAGGGAAGCGTTGGGTTTTTCGAAATGTATCCTGGCAACTACGTACCAAGACCACTAGAAATGCGGGTGGCACACTCAGAATCGACTATGCAACAGCTAGCTGAAGAGATCCTAGCGTTGTCAAAGCTCAACTGGAACAACACACAATTTGATGGTGGTGAACCCATCACAGTTAGGGCAGCGCGACAGGTCGGCGACATACTCAAGTGCTTCCCAGAGGAGTCTGATAAATTTCAGCGTGGCTTCCGTTTCTACATGTAAATGGTGGAGTAGGATCGCAAATTGCCTGCTGATTTTTAGTCCTGTTTTTTGTTTCACTGAAACTCGTCAAGTATGCCTGAACCACCTACCTTTAGATTTAGATCATCATCAAGCAGATTTCACCGGCTTCAGAAATATTCTATATTATATGTTTTAATATATAGTGTGTAGACACCCTAAATCTATCGACACCGAAGTTTTATACTGTAGACTCACATCGCTTTTTCTATGGCTATATGTTATCATATAGCATTATGGAGAGGTTGCCTGTACCCTTTGGAACCACTCTCTATAGAGCAAAATTTTGCCAAGCTCGACTCCAGATTACCCGCCGTGGGACGCGGGCCGATGTCAAATCTGAACTCTTCCCTATGAGATAGGATCATGGTCAAACTACTACTCAAACATTTTGTGCAGTTCCTGTTAATCCCGTCGGCTAGTGTCACGATCGCGTGGTACGGCCACATAGGTACGAACATTCAACCGCAGTGGTCGTTGCTGGATTGGATTCTCGTTACATTAGCGATCGTCGTACTCATCGAGTTAATGATATTCCGGGTTGGAAACGCGATTACTTTGCTGCTCGTTTTTTTCTCAACGGCTATCGTCACGCTGGGTATTCCCGCGTACCTTTTTACGGTCGGTTTTCCGGTCAAGGTTCACGGTGTAGTAGATCATGGCGGGTTGCTTCTCGGTTTGGCCATGGTCGCGGCATTTTCCGCGCGTTGGCGTGTCTACAAGGCCGGATACACCGCCCTCGATATTATCGAGGCTACCGGAAACCTTCCTAAGGGATCGCTTTCGAAGTAGTTAGAACTCAGCAAGGCCACTAATACAAACCGTTAGCATTCTTGTTTCGTTCTTGATCATTCACTAACCACAGGCAAATTGTGATCTACCTTCGAATCCGCCGTCGCCGAATTCAGTGTTGGATCTCAATCGTAGTCAGCGCATTGTGCACTTTGGACGCGTAACGAAGTCGGTTCATTCGTGTCCGCTCTGAGGTTCCAAATCCCGCGTTATAGGCGCCCACAGCGTACCAATTAACACCAACGCGCGCGAAATTGCTGGCCAATACCCATGCGCCCACGTGGATATTGAGGCAATGCGATGTTTGTACTTCGGACCATGTAATACCCAGCTTCTCTAGTTTCGGTTCCCAATGGCTGTTGATCATCATGACTCCATAATCGGTGCTGCCATTGCGGTTGAGGTTTGTGGCGGTCATGTCGAACTGGCTTTCAACAGTGGCAATGGCGAGCAATAGTTTGACATCAACCTGGTACCGTTCACTCGCTTTTACGAAACAGTCGTAATGCGGAAAGTTATCTGCACGAACTGGATTCGCCACAAAAACGGTCAGGCACGTCGCCAGGAGAAACAATGCCGTTGCACAAGTAGTCATAACTTCGGTGGCCCACTCGTTGTTTGGTTTCGCCGGAGCACCTCTTCGAAGTCCGCTTCACTTATTCCCTCTTCTTGTCTCGGCACTTCCTCCATGTCCTCGGCGATGATCATAGCGTCAATTTGATTGGCTTTAAGGTTGGTCACCAACGCCCCCATATCGTTGTTTAGGTGTGAGGCGAACCGATCAAATAGAATGTCCTCCCGATCTTCGGCCGTCACCGCTTCTCCGCTCGCAACCCTTTCACTGGCGATTGATTGGACGTCCGCCTTTGCTGCCGAATACGACTGAGCGAATACCTGATCGACAGCTGCGTAATTGACATCGTAGGTAGTTGAGTCTGCTGCCCTCCCAGAAACGGAACCTTTAACGCCAGCGTCCAGTCCCGTCAGGAACTCAGCAGCCCCTGGTACGCTATAACTCGCGTGGGCCTCAGCGCCCGCAGACTGCGATAGCGTCACCCCCGAACTTTGAACGCGGCCGATAAACGAGGCCATATCCATCTTCAAGGCATCTCTTGCCACCCCGTCGCCGTCGGTGGCACGAAGGACTTGTTCCAGTTGATCCTCGTTATCGGGGCTTGTTAATAACGCTGAAGCACCAAACGCGCCACCCGCGCTAAAACTTTGATCGACGCGCGTTGAATTGTCGACAGCGGCCGAACCGCCGGTCCTTACGCTGCTCGCCATCACCTCTCCGTCCGAATCGAGAGATACCGTGGCTACCCCACCAGAGCCCACAACAGCAGCCTGGTCACCCGTCATCACCCCGCCACGTACAAGCCCGTCGACGTTGTCGGTACCATAACCAAAGCTTCGGTTTGCTCCAGCCTGAGCCATCGCAAGTTGTTCAATCGGTATGCCGGACGCATCAGAAAGATTCTCGAGCTGTTCGGAATTCGCGTTTCGAACAAGGGTTTCATTTTGCGCAAGGTCGGCCGTGCCCGCCATGAAGCCTGGTTCGGACATCACCTCCGCTAGTGCCAAGCCACTTTGTGTCGACATCACTTGATTCGCAAATGCCCCAGACGCCACCTCACCGACCGTCATATCCGCCAGCTGCGACATATTCGCGCTTTGCATCGCGGCCTGCATTTTCCCGCCGGATTCCGCTAACTGCCCAGGATCCACACCCATTGCATGGGCGCCACCCATAATCCCGGCAAGATGATGATCCGCCAGGTGTCGATTGTTGGTCATGAAGTCGACTGCGCGGTCCGCATCTCCGTTGAATGCATTCACATCGCCAGTGATACTGGCCAAACGCATTTCGGAATAGGCTTGCGCTGCGTCGCCGTCACTGAGCGCCCGACCGGTCCGTTGCGCATGGATATCCTTGAACGATTCGATATTGGACGCGTGAGTTCTGGATTCACCAGCCGACATGAGTGTTTGGTAGGTACTCACGAAATGGCCGAAGTCATTTGCATTGTCGAAGCCCATACTACTCATGCCGTCTACTTTACCTCGCGCCTCACCAAACCTTTGGGCTTGTTCCAGGTTAGTGACCTCACTCGCAACAGAAAAAATATCGCCTGGCGACATCGGGTCACCGCCACTTTTTGAGACGTTGCCTTGATTTGCCAGCAGGCCACCAAAGTCAAAACCCGCACTTATTGCACCCTTCGCCCGAATGGCATCGCCGTGCGACATGCCCATCGAAGACGTCGCCTCAAGATACTGTTGCGATGCACTTAATCCTGACCCGCTAGCAAAAGCGGATGCTGTGGCGTGGCTTTCGAATCCGAGTGACCCCATATTCAACGCGGTCGCGTAACCGGCCGAAGCCGCCTGCAACGATGTCCCTTGTCCCTCCGGTGTCACGGATTTGTCCGCCGCATTCGAACCCGCGCCTTCAACCCGGCTCTGGAAGCTGTGTGCCACTTGCGATAGCGCGTAACCTGAAAACCCGACGAGAACCGCCGCAAGCAATGACGCGATGGTTATCCCCATACCGCGGGCTTGACCGAAAATAGCAAGCGCCTTTGTTGAAACCTCGGGCGTCAACATCATGGCCGTCAATCCCATGTTGTGGCGCTGGATCTCCTCAACAGCCACCAGCGCCTGGTCCATTGCCCCGCGATGCATGACTGCATCTGAAATTCCCCAAAATGTCAGCCAAGACAGCAGTCCGAGCATGGCCAAAAGCGATTTTGGGGCAAGCGGCGTCACCAAGAACACAACCAACAATGGGAACAGGCCGAGAACAATGGCAGTGACCGTGGCGCGGACTGTGGGGAGCCATTCATTGGCCGACTGCGCGATGCCGATGCCTTCTGTCAACACAGCCCGATTCGTTAACGCGCGTAATCCGACGTCCGGATTTTGATCTTGCAGCGCTGAGGCAATCGCTGTCGCCAACGCGGCGTTTCTCAGAAAATGAATATGGTCGCCAGCCGTGTTGTAGATTGAAAGGTTTTGATCCGACAGGATCGCCTGGCAACGTGCAAGTTGGGCCACATCCCTTGGGTTGAAACCCGATTTTTGACAAACGGTATTGAGCATCGGCGCATAGAGCGCGGCTTGGTTCAATTGGGGCTGAAGGTTATTGTTCCAATTATCCTCACAGCTCACGGCAACGCCGCCTTTGTTTGCGACATCATAAAATTCGGTGAAGTCAGCCGGGCTGCGCAGTTCCTGCAACAGCGTAAACAGGCTGCCTGTCCCGCTACGTAATTGGTTCAGATCAAAGTTATAGGCCGGTTGAATCAACGCCATTTGTGAACAATCAATGTAGTAACGCCTAATCGAATTGTTTAAGTAATAGTCGGAAAATCCACCGTTGTAATCATTCATGGCGCTCAGCAGCATTTGAAAGTTAATTCCGCCTGCGCTGTCTGCGTACGGGAACGCACCGTTGTTGTCGACCAGTTCGACCACGATTCGCTCAACCTTGTTCATCGCGCCAGCGACAAAAATAACCAAGTCTGGGACACCGCCTACAGGCTGATAGGCGTTCCTGACCGGGTCGTAGACATGCATCGTCCCCGTAGGAATCACCAAGCCGCGAAAGATGAGCACCCCGATTAACGTCATAAATGCCCACGACCAGGTGCTGCCACTGGCGTTGTTAGCCAACGCTTTCACCCCGGACGCCATGGCGGCAAATACAATGCCAAGGATTATCGCGATGGCGATGAGATAGAGGTATTCGTTGTCGCCAAAAACAAGAGCGAGGCGTTGGAACGCAGCAACCGTCTGATCAAAGCCGTTGTACGTGTAATAGTCAAGATCCAACGCGAACGCGCTTGCCGGCATCAGTGCGACCAGTAATGCTGATAACTGCGTAAAACGAATAGCCAAAATCTTCATTTTCTGGGCACCTGTTCCGATATCAGTTGGTCGCCTCAAGCGCTGCTTTTCTTCGAAGATCGCGTTCCTGTTGCTCATGAAGTTGGGCGAACTGCCAATGAGCCAGGTTCTCTTGCACCTTTCGTACGTAGCTTTGCGACACGCCTTGCCGGACCTCGCGAACTGATTCCTGCAAGCGACCAAATTCGCTGAGGCCTTTCTGAAAGACTCGAACGTTGCACTGATTGCCGACCGCCGCACCATCAACGCCTGGCATCGTCGCAATAGCATCGATCTTCTGGAATAAATAGTTGGTATTGCGATAGAGATCGTCGAATATCTTGTACGCATAAGCGGTTGCTACCACATCTGTCATCACCGCGATCGTCATGGGTGTGTTCTGCTGTGCAATCGCTTTGCGCAGGATTGAGTAAATTGGAATGGGCGAGTGCTCGATGAACGTCACCTGCGCCGCCGTTAGGGGTGCTTTTGCGGCCATATTGTCAGCAATGTCCGTCAACCGATCTCCAACAATCACTTGTATTGATTCCGCGTTGTCATCTACACACGTTCCGTCCACCAACTTGGCTTGTGCTGTGCCGTCTAACATGTCGTCAATGCCAATCTGATCGTTGGTGGGACAACCCTCTATACGTGTAGCCACCGGGATCAGATCCGCAGCCTCAGCGCGGACAACCACGTCGCCAATGTACCCGCGTATGATGTCCGCACTACTAGGAATCCCGAATAGGGTGGCTGCATTTTCTATAATTGATCCGCTGCCGAAGAGGGTCCGAAAATCTGCCGGGCACTCCAAGATCTGCGTTTTGAGATCCACAATCGGATTGTTGTTGCCGGCTTGAATGTCTTGCTGGGCTTGGTCATACGACTTATTAATCGATTGGCTCAGGCTTTCCCCAGAAGAAATTTCATTCCAGAGCGCACCAAGCACATCTGGGTCGTCTTCCGCGACAGCCGTGACGACACGGTTGGATATCGCACAGTCATCCAGCTGCAGGTTGTTCAGCCAGTTGGTTGCTCCTTCCAGCTTTGACATCGAGTCAGACAGCTCTTTTGCCATGACCTTTAACGCGATATCGAATGCCAGCGCCGGGGACGCTTGAATGATATTTTGAAATTTTTGGACGAGGTAATCAGCATCGAGAAATGACATGCCGCCAAGAAACAGATCCACCCCGCCGCAGCCGCTTTTTAGCTTCGGCAAAGTCACTGTAATTGGGTGATCAACGGCCATATTCAATCGCCCCTGAAAACCACCGGCAGAATAAAAGCCACGTTGCTGGTTTTGATAACTGCTACTGCCCGTCACGACTGCGTTGTTAAACCAGTCGTCTGTCCAGCCCGCCTGCGCGGATCCGGCCGCGAACATCGTGACCAACGCTATGGTTCTAAGTACTTGCTGTTTCATAGATCCTCCTCCGGCACCACGGTATCGGCGAAGCCGCCATCCTGGTATTCCGTCGTGAAAAATTGTTTTTCTGTAATCTCGCCTTTGAGTAGCCGTACAGCTCGATAGGTGTTGTCTTCAATCGCTGCAACTGATTCAAGGCCAATCGCGATCGGCATCCAACGCTCGGAGCCGCGTTCAATGAGGATGGTCATTGGCGTGGTCGTGATGTTGAATCGTGCCTGTAAGGCGTGATCCCGAGTAATGTCGACGTCATCAACCACCCAGTGGTGCCGGTCGGCAAAGTACTTCAGAACATTAATCTGACTCGTGCAGTACGGACATTCGGGCGAGGAGAACATAATCAATGCATAGTCGTTGCGTGAGCTACTCAGAGATCGCTCGATGCGATCACCGCGCACCTGAGTCTCAATATCTCGGCCAGCGCCTGATGACGCAAACGCGGAGCGCGCATTGAGCTCTGGGTTCTTAAGCATCACGTATTTTGTTAGGGCGGTAAACGCGAGTGCATGGCGCCGGACGACGTCCTGCACTTTGTAGTAATCAAGGACCGCTTCGGGCGTTTGCTTCCAGACTGCGTAGACCTTCCGGTCCTCCAATTCCTTCTTAATGTCCAACGGATGCATCTCGGCCAGTACCTGCATTGAGGGCAGCGCAGGCAGTTCATACCGCGCCATGGCCTCCTCTTCTTCTTCCGTCGGTTTTTCTTCATACCACCAGAAACCTTTTTTCTCGGTCTCGCGAGCGGTCTCGGCGTACGCAAGAGAAACTGTCGTCCCAAATAGCGTCCCCAGTATCGCAACACTGGCTAAAGCGCGAATTGGAATCATGGAAATATTTAGTTTCATAGCGACGTTAGCCTCCGGATCCATATAGCGGGACCAATCGTTCCGTCGATGCGACGTCAATGAGTCCCCAGTACCGGCTGTCGAAAGAGTCTGCGTGAACACCAAACGCAAAAGCCTTCCCGGGCGGTACACGGTCATTGAAAATAAAAAGCGGTAGGGGCTGCCCATTGAGGCCTGTTTCCTTTGCGAGGCCAAGTGGCTGGCCATTACAATAGTGTTGGCGGCCATCGATTGTGAGCAGATCGCCCTCCCAGCAGACGAGGCGCTTTGTCAATCGAACCGGTTCTTCTCCGGCCAACGGGTGGCTGAATAGGAATGTGGCGTAGTCCCCTTTGTCCGGTTGTGCGCTTGTTCGCCAAAAGATTCGCTCATCAACCGACGCAGAAACAGTGACTAAGATATGACGCTCTGCATGAAAGATTGCGACGCACCCCAGAGCTACAATTCCCAGTTTCCAACCAAACGTGCGCCACTCGATCGTCGCCGGTGTGAGGATCCGTTGTACAAGGCGCCCTAACATCACAGTGTCCTCCGGGCTGATACACGGGTCGTCTTCATTTCATTGCCTCGATAAGTCGCTCTAGCGGTTTACTCTTCGACAGGCGAAAAAGCTCTGTTGCCATGTGCCGTGCCGAGACATCGCCGTACACGACATAGCGTGCTTTTGCGGGAATCGAGTCGGCTTCGAATCGTTCGCAGTACGGTTCCAACGGCATGTCTTCGACAAAAACAGCCGCCGGTACTTGGGCAATCCCGTTTTCCCGAAAAAGCACAGGGTCGATCACGAAGTTCGTCGTTCGCATCGGGCAGTTGCCACCCGTACAGTTCGGGTCTATGCGTAGCACCTTGCTGATGTGCGCCAGCGTCGGGCCCATGCTTTTCATGCCGCCAACCATGCCGCGCATGACCATTAGGCCATTTATCTCATCCAGGTCTTTCGCATAATTGCGGAGCGTGTTGAGCGGCATCGATGACGAAACAAACACAACCAAGCGGTCTTCCGCGATGTATGGCGCATCTTCGTCTTCCGCCTCATCGACGATCCCCGTCAGAACACCAATGTCTCGTCTAAGGCGGCTCTGCTGCGCCACCCACTCCGGGCTTTTAACCCGATCCATGACCGCATCAAGCGCTGACTGAACTTCGGCTGAGACCACAACTTGGTCGCCAACGGTTTCTGCCACTTGCGCCTTCACCACATCGGAGGGTTCAAAGGTAAGTTGTGCATGAGCTGCGCCAACTAAACTCGTCAGCACCGCGGTAAGTAGAAGAGGCATCAATCTAGTATTCATAGGTCACACAACAATTGATTTTCTTAAACATCACCCAAGAGAAATTATCGCCCTGTGTTGGCGGCTGTTTGTAAGCGGTCCATAGAAGCCCCGGTCGCCCGATACGATGACACGACGCATCTTTCACCGGCTTGGCGAGCTGCAGCTTGAAGCGGTCTTTGCGCCAGATTGGCGTGTACTGCAATGAACACCCATCGAGCGCTGTGTCCCACAGCAGCCCGGTTCTGCCCATAAAGTAGATACTTCGTGCCGCCAAGCCAGCGTTAGCCTCGACGTAATCTGTGAGCGTGATGGACCCGGCGAGGGGGTAAACACTGCCCCAACTGCCCATACACCAAAACAACTCGTTGCGCGGCTTACCTAACAGGACCGCTGAGGCATCTGCTGCACAGGCCAATTGCGACACGGGGTTTGCAAAAAGCACGGCCTCTGGATTCACAATGGTGGACAGGATGTCGTCGTTCCAGGTTGGGACGAGTTCCGACATCATGGCGACATCAAACGTTTCGTCCTGCAAACACTGGATATCAGTGAATAGATCCAGGATCGACCAAACTGGAAAGATGTAGTAGTGCATTTGTTGGAACGCGCGTTGGCTGTTCTCGTCACGGTCCATCGAACCACCGAGGCTCCCAGGTCTGGGATTGGCAAGCTTCGACCCCAACGCCATCAGGCAGTAAGGATCCGACACCGTGTCAATCAGTCGAGACGGTTCCCAAAAACTGACCGTCAGCCCAAACTTTGGAACGGTGCCGCCCGTGCAGACGCAAACCGGATTAGCAATGTCGTCAGCGTCGTCGGGATTCGATCCAAGCTGAACAATACCGGCAATTTGTATCGGAAAAATGCACTGCCACGAAACGTCCGTAACGGGGTTAATCCCCGGGCCCGTGCATTCACTCGCTTTCACGTCGCCGGAGATGAACAGAAGCATGAGTACTACTGTGACAACGATTGGCGCCAAAAATAGATGCTGGCGTCTCACGATTCTACCTCCACGAAGAACTCTTCAACGACGAACCTATCGCCGAACTGCGTCACGATCGATGGCACCGCCTCAATGCCGAGCCGCGTTTTGGTCTTTGCATCTAGCATAAACGTGGGCCGTTCTAAAACTTCGCTCGCTTCTTCAAAGTCCCCATTGGTCAGAATGACCATATCGCTGTCTTTAAGCCGTGGCTTGACCCAGGCCACATCAGACGGATTGATGACGACAACTCGGTAAGGCAGCGAGATGTGTTCCAACACGTTAAATTGAAACCCTTTTGGGTAGATAACCTGGCCGAACTGGTCTCGCACATCAAATTCAATTGTGTACCAAGGCACATAGTGACGGGTTTGATCAACCGCTGCGCGTGGCACGAGATACCCGTTCTTTGCCGACCAAGTCACGTTCTCTAACGCTTTCGCCCAATCGACTGCTTTTGCGCGGCCTTCGATTTCTTCCAACGCATCGCGCTCTGCAATAGGATAGGTCTGGCCAACCGTCACCGATTCAGCCAACACACCTTGCGCAAATAGCAGCGCGCTAGCTGCCAGGACCTTGGGTATCATTGAACCGCTGCACTCCGTCTTGAATGGTTTGTTGGATCACCGCATCCGACGCTTGCGTGATGTCGTCGTAGTATTCGGTGAGATCGATTTTCGAAAAGTCCAGTGCCTGAAACTCTTCTGGCGTAAACCCTCGGCAATCGGGTGCTTCGATATCTCCAAAGCCGTTCGGGAACGTGCTCAATTGCACACGCCCCTGTTCGTGAATGATCTTGGCCAGTTTTGAATTGAAACAGCATTGCGTTCGTCCACGTTGGACACACGATCCTAGAATTCGGCGCTTACAATACGAACCGAGCTCGACGCAATACTCGGACGCAACCAACGCCGCCGCTTCCAAGCTCTCCTGCGGACAGGCCCTGGTTAACCACTCCAGTACCAGCGCAACTGCTATGGCAATAACAAGCGTGGTTGGATCGAACGCGACGGCAAAAACGTCACCGGCTGCTGTTGCACCCGCCGACGCCGCAGCCCCCGTAGAGGCACCAGAAGCTACTGCCGCGGAATAGGCGCCGTAGGCGGTGGTTGCGGCTTGAAAGGTTGCAATAATGGCTTTGTTGGTCAGCGTGCTTTGGACTGCGCTACCCGTTGAATCGGTATAGATTTCGCCTTGCGCTTCGCAACAGTCTTGGAAGGCGGTAGACAGCCCCGACGGCAAGCACTCCATGGCGCGCCCATTGAAAATGACCGTTGCGCCAAGACAATACCCGTCTTGGTCTCGATCACCATCATCAATCAGCATTGTCCCCTGCCCTTGCAGCGGCGTATCGACCGGCGGTGATATTGCCAAATCGACGCAGGCATTTGCACTACATTGCTGAACGCCGGCATTGTCAATGCACGCGAATTCATTACCTAATGGACAGGTGTAGTCACCGGGCGCTGCTGTGCACACCTGCATGGCGCTTGCACATGCGGTTGTGCACGCCCCGAGATCGTTACCAAAAAAACCACCTCCGCCGGTAATCGTTGGGCAGAAGTAAATGGGTGAACCAAACACGTCGATCGCCTCACAGGTGCCGGGCGTGTTGCAAACGCCTGCCCTGCAAACGTTTCCCGCGATAGGGCAAACCTCTGTCACACCGGGTGTGCAATCTGTCGCGTTGATTGGACACAATTGATCAGAGCCCACGCAACCGGCCATTTCCCCGGGCTCGGTCGTGTCGCCATTGCCATTGAGATCCTCGACACAGACGATCGGATCCGCGGACAGCGTTACCGGCCCTAACGCCAGGCACGCCGTGAGGAACCAGGCGATTACTGAACAGGTTGTTGAGTGCCGCTTGAACATAGGATGTCCTGACCTCCCATTCTCACTAACTGCATCACCACGGAGGCTTCCGCAAATTCATCGATGCAACCGCAGTCTTTGACAATCTCTTCACCGGCGCCCAGTGGGCAGACATTGCTTTGATCACATTCGTGATAAAGCATGTCGTAAGTGGCTGGTTCGGTGTTCGAATCCGACACCACGCCCGATCGCCCGACATCGTTGCGAATACGTTCCCGCCGTGTCTTGCACGCCGAGACACATGCGGGTACGGGCACTTCATCAATCAACACCATCGTCCCATCGGTTATCGTGATAGCGCCGGTATCAACGTCAGCAATCCGGTCCTGGTACTCGGTTGGTGTCGCGCTTGCCTGAATAAACGCTTTACGTTCCAGGTCCGATGTGAAGTCGTAATCGTTGTTGCTGACGCACTCATACGTGCGGCGCTTGTCCCACCAGTCCCGCGTGACGTCCGCTGAACACGCGACACCGCTGATGGTCCTCGTGGCGGGTATTGGCGTTAAGCCGGTTGCTGTGTTATTCCGAACGGTCTCTACGCCATCTACAACTTCATCCAGTAGATTGCACTCCGGGTCCGCCTGATAGGCTTGACAACCATCCAATACAACGTCGGGTTGCAACTCACACGAGGTATCTACGATGACGCGCGCATAGGCATACCCTTCTCCAAACCCTGCCACCGCAACGCGAATGTTAAAGTCCACAAGACCACCGGCGGTGAGGCTATTCGTGAAATTCACGTTCGGGGTTTGATTCCAATTTGTTAAACGTTCACAGCGACCGGGGGGATTGCCATGACCTAACCACGGGTTTGGTCCGCTCCAAATGAGGTCCGAGTTGGCTCGCACCTGGATCCAGTCGTCCCAATTGGCCCGGGTCAGGCTCGCGCTGACAATGCGGTCCGGACGCAGAACATTGAATTGCACGTTGTGTTCGAACATCGAGCATGCCGCCGGACCCCAATAATTGTCGCCCACGGTTCCCAAAATCAATTGCAGACAATTGGCGCCACAGGGTGACACCGATCCAGAACCGCTGTTGTAGTCGATGATGTCGTTGAGATCGATTTCATCCATCGTCACCGACCGACGAATATCGCAGTCGACCTGAGTAAGATCGCTTTGTGTCGCGGCCGGAGTCCCAGCGATAAGCTGATACACGTCATCCGCCGTCGCTGCGGCGGTTGCATCGCCCGACAGCGTCACGGGCGCTGCAAAATAGCGCGTTAACGGGCTAGGACCTGGCGCGCCACACTGCGCCGTGTTCTGCCCAAAATATTCCGCCGTTGGGCCGTTAACCCGAACATTGGTGATCGCGTAGTACGGGTTGTTTGTCGCCAACGCTGCAGCCGCACCGCCACCTATTGCGGCAACGGTTGTATCCAGGTTACTAACGAGCAACCCTGCGCCGCAATAATTATTCAGGCAGTAACACCCACCCAATTGGCTGAGTCCGACCTCGACGACGTCCAGGTGATTGTTATCGCGTGCCGTCCACTGGTAGTTGCGGCAGTTGTCCCACGTGCCCGGCGTGCACGACACGAAACCGTTGGCGCACACCCCCGAGACGTGCGTTGGCGTCGAATACACACGGTCATACACGCCGTCCATGGTCGTGTCTTGCTGAATATGGATACCCCCGATATCGCCGGTTGCACTCGGCGTGATGAGCACTTCCATAAAACCATCTTCTTGCTGACAGATGAGCTGCGCATCAAACGCGACGCCGTCGGGGGTTTGCATTTGCGCGTCCGACAACAGTGGATTTGTTAGATTGTCCTGAATCGCCTGCGGCGTACCCACAATTTGCTGAAACGACGCGGCCGCATCTCCAGCGGCGGTCACGTCCTCAGGACCCGCGTGCACGCCAACGCTTGCCAGGAGCAGCACTGCCAAGCTGCCAGAATAGATCTTCACAGCGCGATCCCAGACAGTTCGCTGATGGCTTCAATGGGCGTTTTGCCCTGCTTGATCAACTTGTTGAAGGCCGCAACTTCATCCCCAGCCGACGTATTGACCCAGTAATTCCAAGGGTCCACGACCAAACGAGCCACACCAGCGCCAAACGGTGTTTCGAGGAACATTTCAGAGTAGCGAGGCTTGTTGTTCTTGATCGACGTCAGGAGCTCTACGGCCAAGCCTTGATAGTCAATCAGGCCTTCCGAGATTGCTTTTGGGTAGTCCTTGCCTTCGAGCATGAACTTGTAGGCTGCGTTGTTGAGTAAAACGTCGCCGATTGAACCAAAACTCTTCAGGTCAACCATCGACTGCAGGACAACGCCAAAACTGCCGTGATATTTTCGGGCACGGCGAAAGCCTTCTTCGATAATCATCGCAAGACGCGATAGATCGTGTACGCCGTTCTGTTTTAAGAACGACGCCGCCTCCTCGAATAGGATAAATCGCCGATCACTCCGATCAGATAGATACAGATCCTGGGTGACGCTGTTCATCACCTGCATCACGACGACGGTAAACAGTTCCTTCACGCCTTTAAGCTGATCCAGCTCGAGTACTACAAACTCATCGGTCGCGATGTCGAACGTCGACGGCCCGTTAAAGAACGAGCCGTACTGGCCTTTACTCGTGAAGTCGCGAAGGTTAAAGGCCAGCTCGTGCGCCTTGCTGCGAGCGAACTCCACATCCTGCCCGTCCATATCCGGACTCATCTCTGGGAACTTGCGCAACCATTCCTCAGCGTAATCCACGCCGCGTTCAACATTGCCTGATCGAAAAGCTGCATTCACCGCCCCCTTTATGAGCGTCCACTCCGTTTCTGACAGTGCAGCGCCAGAGGCCGAATAGGCCATTTCAGCAACAATGTTTGCGGCGGCTACCTGGTTTTTCTGTTTGTCTTCTTCGTCCCGGTGAGCGCCCATGAAGGGGTTGATGACGGGTTTTTCTTTGCCAAAGTCCATGAATCGGCCGTGGCAGGTGTTGCACAGTTTTTCGTAGGAGTAACCGATATCGACAATGCGTATCAAGGCGTTTGTGGCGTAGTAGTTGCCGCAAAGGTTATTCAACTGAAACGACTTACCCGAACCGGATTCGGCAGCGACCAAAAAGTTGTGGTTGTTCGACCGGTTGTCAAAGAGATCAACGCCAATGTGCTGCCCTTTTCGGCCGACATACGCGAGCACCGGTTCGCTTGCGCCTCGAAAGTCTCCCTGAATGGGTAGGTAGCGCGCGACGGCCGCCGCATGACAGATGAAAGAGCGCTCCATTTTTCCGACGTTGCCACGATCTGTGTAAAGCCCAAACGGCAAAGACGCGATCAACAGCGCCTTGCTCATGATCGTTTCTTCCTGCATCACAAAGTCTTTTGACTCCCAGATGCGTTTGATGCGGGACGCACTGTCACGCAGTTTCTGTGGGTCCTCATCAAACACCCACAGTGACGGCACAATGGTGACGAATCGATCACTCTCAAACTTATCGAGTGCCCAGCCAAACTCTTCCATCCGGCGCTGAATGGCAGCAGCGAAGCTCCCGCCGCTCTTCTGCATCATGGTCATGCTGGCTTTCTGATGCAGAGAGAATTTCAAATCGTCGAAAATGATGCTGCAGGTCCAAAGGAACGGCGACGTAATCTGTTCGGCGTCTTCCGACACACCGCGAATCCCACCGATCAACGTGTTGGATTTGAGCGGATCAACTCGCTTTGGGTTTGCTTTTGGCGTCAGACATTTTGCGTACATATTGCCCAAGCGGTATGGCTGGGTACGAAAATCGATATCCGTGTCCGCGCTGATAATCTGCTTTCGAATGGGTAACGATTCATCGAACGTTCCAATAGATCCGCCGTGCTTGCGACCGTTGAGTAGGTTCCTTGCGAATTGCAAAAAACCTTCGATGGGTAGCCGTCGCGGATACAAATGCGCGCCCGTCAGCATTTCTTCGGTAATCGAAACGATGTCTTCCGATAACTGGCCTTTGGAATAGAGCGCGACGAACAGCCGGAAATTACGCAGCGGAATGCCGTGGCACTTTCGGATCCCATCCGCGCCTTCCTCAAGAAAATCGCTGTAGGCTTCAATGTTTTTCTTAACCAGCGGATCGCGGCGCGTCTTGTTCCTTTGGAACGCATCGACAAACCCCGTGACGTCGTGGTCACTGTAGAAGCAGAACTGCAACACCGTGTCTTTCGGGAAATCGGCGCGGATCAGCGATTCGAGCTGCTTAACCTCATTTAATCCGGCAAACGGGATCGGTGTGCACTCCCAGAGGTAACCAACCGTATTGTTCACGTTCAGGTACGCATGATCCTCGCGGCGATACAGCTTCCACGGTAGGTAATCCGATAAGCCCGAGCGGTCACACAGTTTTTCAAGGTCGGAGTAGCGCGCGCCACCGTTATCGCCAAACAAGAAATTGCGCACCTGCTTGAACAACGATGCCTCATCGTCATTCGGGTTGCTCGGCGGCAGTCCGACGGGCTCATCGTCGTGGGCTAAACCCCGTCGTTTCCCAACCGGCGACTCGCGCTCAATATCGACGCCCGCTTTACGGGCGATCTCGGCCATCAGTGACTGTCCTTAGTCATCGACTCTTGGCTCACCTTCACGACCGACTCCGGTATCAATTCCGGTCGTCGGTTCAGGTAATCGCCCATCACGAACTGCGGACCTTGTGAGATTGAGAAAACATACCGCGGCATATACAGGCGGCGAGGATTCTCCCGGTTGGCGTAGCTGATAATAAGCGTGCGTACCGTGGTCGCCGGTCGGACCATGGGCGTCGTTGGCGTGTTCAATAGGGACCGCATGTGTTGATAGACTGCAGAGCGGTAGGCACCGTATTCGTCCATGTCTGACGTCACGGCTGTGGTTGAGTCGCCGCCTGGACTACCCCTGGTCGAGCTCATCACGTCACCGGTGGGTGTGGTGGTCGGCTGCACCTGGTCGCCCCGCTTGCGCAATTTCGGGGCGCCGCTGTCTTGACCGGTCACGGCTTCGTTGTACGCCCCTTGGACATCGATGCATTTCCCATAGTCGTCCTGCAGTGCGCAGGCAAAGTTATCTCGGTATGGGGTAACGCTGCAACCGGATGCACCGATGAGCAGACTAACTAAACTGATTCTATATAAGCGCATTGCCTTTCCCTCTCCAATCTTTGATGTTCAGTACCACGGATTCCTGAATGACAATCGTGCAATCCACCGACGCGCCAGACTCGATCACTGGACCGCTTTGCCGAGCCAGTTCCAAGTACAGCTCTTGAATTTTTTCGGACCCCGTTTTGATGCCCTGACCAATACCCGTTTGAAAGGCTTTGTCGGGGTCAATGACGTTGGTCGCACCCAATGGGTTTACTGACTGAGTCACGGTGTCGAGGGTGATTGCTTGACCAATGCCATCGGCAATACCCGCGACCGCGGCGCGGGCAATCAGCGACCCCATTTTTGTAACCACAATCCCCGGCAAGCCTTTCTTGCCGTCCTTGCCCGTGACAAAGCCTTTGATCTCTTCATCGATGACACCGGTTCCGTCGAGTGCCACGCAATGCAAGCTGACTAACCGCACCATCACCCGTTCCCGTGCGAGCGAGCCGTAGGCATTGCCGACAACAAAACAACCTTTGAGATCCGCTTTGAGATCATTGGGTAGAATCGCCGGTGCTTGAACTCGAAACATCAAGGGCTCGGCGTCTTCTTTGCCTTGCGCCGATGTCAGCGCCTCGACGCCGGTCAATAGCTTCGATGCCATAAAACCTGGCGGCATCAAGAATTGCGTCTTTTTTTTTGCGCCGTCGTCTTGCTCGGCGATCGGAATGCCGACACTGCGCGACACCGCGCCGACGAACTGCACTTCCACGGGTGGCGCGTTCGTTAAGACTGCTTGCTGTGGAAAGACCGCCGGCGCAGGGGGATACGGTGATTTTGGAGGGCCGATACCACGGTAGGGATCATCGTCAGATTCCAAATCGAGCTTCGAGCCCAGCTCGATTTCCTTGTCGAGAATGTCCTTGCTCTGCAGCTCAGTCATCAATGTTTCGAGTGCGAGTAGACGCTGATCGTCGTCCTGGTTTTTGAGTTCGACGTCGGTCAGTTTCGCCTCAACCTCCGCTCGGATGTCGTCCTCAAGCATGCCGGTGCCGAGGTCAATTTGATCGACTTGAACGGCTTCCTCGACCACGCGATCGTCCCGCCCGGACCAGTAGTACGACACCAAGATGGCCAAAAGGATGCCTAGGCCGCTTCCCCATTTAAGCAAGAAGGTTTTGCGCTGAGGTGTCAGCTGATCCCACTTGTCGCGCAGCTGCTCCACCTTTGTGCTGGCCCGACCCGAATTCATGGCGATCCCCTATTGACGACAAACGCTCGCGATATTCGATTGGCTTTGCCAATCAACGAGTCGAACGTGATCGCAAAAATTGCACTGCCGAACCACTCGTTCAGCAGCATGCCTTCGTCGAGCTGCAAGTCCTCATTCGGTTGAATCCAGTATTCGGTCAACGTAAAACCAATGCCCTCCACTCTCACGTCACGTCTTTTCGCAACTTTTGCATCCGGTACAACGTTCTCGTACCACATCATGTCGTCGTATCCCGTCTGGGATACTCGATAGCTGTCTGGGATTTGGTCTTGCATCACCGCCAAGGTGAGCGATACCGCGCGGTCCTCTTCAACTTGTGGGCCGTACTCGGCGAGGTTCCGATCGATGCGTTCTTTCGCCCCGGGCGCGAGCCAAATGGTTTGCGCGCCGATCTTTTTTGGCGTCGCCATCAATGTGTAGACCGCGCCGTCACACACGATGTAAAACTCTGCTCGAACGCTTGCGTAAATATCCGGATTCACGCCGTCACGCTTAATCAGGAATTTGACAAAAGCACTGCTGCCGTTGTTTGTGACCGTCACGCCTTTCTCTTGAGAAAAGAACGCATCGTTCACGACCCCGTTTGAACACACGATGCGATTTACATCAGTATTTGACATCTCGACGGCTGTCACCGTCTCCGGTGACACGGTGACGTCTGCAGATGCGCTCTGCGACACAACTAAAGCCAACACCGACGCTACGCACAGTGCGCATCGAACAGCATGCCCAACAATTATCTTATGCTTTGACATCGCGGACCCCCACTGAATCGCTGATCTCCCGGATCCAGAATCGACCCGCTTCAATGCTGAAATGGATGACGTATTCAACCGGCTCAGTTCGCGAGATCTGATCGCCTGTGATGCGGCGCCGCACCGCACGAATCGTTAAGGTGTTCTCGCGTCGTTCAATGGCTTGACCCGGGTCCCATTGCACCGCGAAGCTGACGCTTGCGTACTTCTGCGCGCGATCTGAAATGTTTTTGAATTGATCTCGATACTTTGGATAAGAATCAGGATGAACGAGCTTCAAGACTTGATTGAGTTGCTCGCGCACGGAACCGGGCGTCCAGGTACCAATGAGTTGCACGGTGTGCAACCCGATATCGGCCAGGTACTCATCGCCAGCGTCATTGCCCGTCATGCCCCATTGCTTATCCGAAAACGGCGGTAAAACGACCGTTCGCATATTGTCTTGAAGGCTGTGAACGGCGTAACCATTCCAAATGGTGACAACCACCAAGACAAAGAAGCCGAGTTTCAACATTCGGTTTTCCGCGAAGACATTCGATTCACTCTGAATAAACCCCTTGCCTGCTGTGCTGTTCATAAGCGTTCCTCTCTTTTTCCGAAAACTACTGTGCAAACTATTCCGCAAACCGTGACAATGTGTGTGATGGATAACCGGCATAGCCTTGCCAGCCTAGGACGTACATCAGGTGGGAAAAATAGCCTCTCGGCTGCGCGCGCTTGTAGGGAATAATAAGAATCGGGCCAACGAACAAGAAAGCCCAAGCAATACCACCAAAGATCGCTGCCAAGATGTACAACATCGCGAGCAGCGTGAGCTCCGGCGTATCGAACCAAAGCACTTGCAGGGGGAGGTGCAAATATTCCGGCATCTTTTCGTCCATGTTCGTTGACCCTCTTCTGTCTCGCGAAGCCGTCGTTAGACGAGCATGCCCATGCTGGCGGTGATCGTGTCGGCGTTGATGAGGATGACCCCACCCAACAATCCCGCGATCGACAGGACCCAGTTCCGCGTCAGGTTGACCGCGCTGACCACCATAATGATCACCGCGCCAACGAAGCCTGGGGCACCGAGCAGCACATCGTTTACCGCGACGTCATATAGGTCGAATGCGAACGAACCTGCAGCGGGCGCCACGATGCCGAACGCGCTCGGGGTAATGACCAAGCTGATAAAGCTCGCAACCACAAGGGCCTTGAATGCTTTCAGTTGGGCAATTTGCGCTTGCAACATTTGTCTCATACGAGTTACTCCCTAGTTACTAACAAACGCGCCTGCTCAGCGATATACCGAGCAATTGCGTCACGACGAAACCCCCTTACAGGGGTCCGACCCAAGTACAGTGTCGGCGTTGCGTTCACACCGGCTCCCTTGGATATGGTTAAGTGCGCGTCGGCCATGGCTTCGCCGTTCTCGCACGTATTGAATTCAGTTAAATTTGGGTTGTTGTAAACCTCGAGAAACGCCTCTTCCTGGTCGTCTGCACACAACACGTGAATGGCTTTTGGCCGTGCGGACGGATGGATACGCGTTTCAAAGAAGATGATTCGCTTCACCGGCTGACCGACGCCGGTGACGTAATTGTGGTACTCACGGCAATACGGGCAGTCCGGATCAGTAAACTCAATGATCGGTACGCCGTCTTCCGGCCCTATGACCACGGCCAGTTCGGTGGGGATGTCAGCAGCCATATCGGCGTTGGTTAACGCTTGGCTTTCCTGCGTCAGTGAGCGACCGTCTTTGGAAAAGATTTCGCCGAAGATCAGCACTTCCGCCTCGGGGTGGAAGTAGACGACGCGCCCGCCGATATTGATTTCGAACAACCCTTCAACCGGCGACGGTTTGAAATCGTTGACCGTCAAATTCTGAAAGGTCGCTTTCAGCTTGTCTTGCGCATCCTTGACGTATTGTTCCTGATCGTTTGCGAACGCAATACCGCTCGTTAAAGTCAACAGAGTGCAAAGACCCGCTGTCACCAAGTGCCTCATGGGTTGCCTCCTGATCGTGCTGCGGTTTTAAGCAAGAGCGTTTCATCAATAAAAATGTTTCCCGCGCTTTGCGTTTTGGGGGCTTCCGTTTGAACCAGTACGGTCTCAAGCGGCGTAGTTGTTGTTGAAACCGAGTTATTCGCAGGCGTGGGCGTCGTGTTACTCCGTATCAGGTCGTGCCCACCTATAGCGTCTTGCCATACCGCTCTTGACTCGACGTAGAAGTGTTGGTCCGGGTGTTGAACCAGCGCGTTCACAGCAGTCAGTGTTCGGGCGCCGATCGCGTTCACCACATAACGGTTCGGCTTTGATGGCCGATAAGAGTGACTCAGTCTCGTTAACTCGTCATCAATCGCGAAGCGCGGCGTTGAGGGCATTGCTGCGACGGTGCGCGTTCCGCGGCCGGGTACCGCCATCGTCCGCTGGCTCAAATCAATCGGCACCGCGTTTGTCCCGCTCGACTGACGA